TCTGTCAAGTCATAAAACAGTATCCTCTGACAGATAATTTCTTCTCAAAGATAATGGTCTTGAGCAGTCTGCAGCAGGGGAGAAGGGGGCAGTTAAAATGACACTTTAGAAAAAGAAAAAAAAAAGTAAGAGTAGTACTTTTCATGGTGAACTCTTTAAGAAGATGTGTAACCATAATCTTTCCAACAGGGACATTAAAAAAACATACATCATATAATTTTTCACAAATGCTAATTTTTTAAAGGGTGAGGGTAATCAAAGTGTTTCCTAGCATACTTTCCTACCTGCTCCCATAGACCTCAGCCAAAACTGCAGGAAAAACTGATATTGTACACCTTGACAGGTTTACAAAACATAGATCATCAAGAGCTCAAAGCCTCTTAGACTCCTTCAGCCTTATGTGTTTCCTGAGGAAGCATCCCTGAATCTGAGATTTCAGCAGTGTGAAATTCTCAGATGTTAAATTCATGCACAAGGGACCCCTCTACATCAGTGTCTTCAGCAGTCACCAGACTGTGATAAAGATATTTCTGGACAAACATTTGCAGCTGGGACATTTTCAGGTGCAGAGGAGCAACTTAGAGTGAGTGTAAAAAAACTATAATACACCATGTGCTCTATCCCCATCCATCCTTCAGACCTAGAGAAGTTTCACATCTAGGCTTTCAACCTGGAACATAAAACTTCTGCCTTTTAGATCATGTTTTAGATACCTGCTGTTTCTGACCTAGGTAAGATACTGCATAAGAAACATGCTGAGTATAAGGTTATTTCAATTCCTTCAAATTAAGTCATTAGATGTCTAGAAAAGTATTTGTAAAAACAGGTTTAACTTCAACTCAGACATTTATTTCCCTGGAACTTCTAGAACACTGTGACACTACAGCTGAACTAAAAAATATTCATTGAGGGGGCTTTGAGCCACTCTCAACTTTCACCTATTTCCCCTTAAAATTTAATTAGAAGGAATTTCTAAAGAAAATAGATCCCATTAGGTCACTTTCTTGAAACATTTGGATGCTGTCTTAAGAATTCAGCTAAATGGGAAGATCTGGTTATTTGGTTATACCCTTTTTCTACTTTAAAACCCAGGCAAGCAGAAAATTATGCCCTACATCTGATTCCTGTTTAAAGGAAATACATCCATTCCCAAAATCTTCACCTTTTTAGGATGGCATGACCAAAGTGCATTAAGCTATTTTAAGGTAAACATCTTGCAGCATTAGCTGCATTGCTGAAAGTAAAAGCCTCTTAGTAAAGGCAGCTTCAGACTCTGAGGAGAGTTCCGTAGGAGAACTGCTGAGTCAAAGCCTGTTTATCTGCTGTTTTTGCTAGCAGACAGACTTTCAGCACAAATGCACTCTCTCTGAAATCATGGCTGCATACTACATATATAGGTGCTAATTAGATAAAATTATGGATACTGAATTTTTTAATGTAAAATGTTAATAGTAACATTTGTTACTGAATTTTTCACAGCCGAGTAGATTTATGCTGAATTAGATATGAATCTAGAGGTACAACCATTATTCATCTATATCTGTAGTTAAAAAACGAAAAATGTCAGTCATATTTCAGGCTGCAAGAAATACCTTTTAATACAAAAAATCTTCCCAACACACATTTTAAACCAGTCCTTTATCCAAACCTAAAAGGTACCTGTAGATTTATTGTTCTGACTGCAGTGCAGTTTCTAGATCAAGTCTTGAAGCTGATGTGATGTGATTTGAACTTGGATTTGACCTGTTGTGCATATATGTGAAATGGCACTACTGCTTAGAGAGGCACATTTATCACAGAGAAAAGCACTTTCAGCCCCAAAAGAACTTAAAATCTCCTGATCTCTCCTCCCATAACTTTCAGAAAGACACATACCTGCACATAGCCATGCCTGCTTTTCTGCAGCATTGGTAATTGCAAGTTTTCTTTAACTTTTCTCACATTCAGAAGCAAGCTGTGCAATTACTATCAAAATTGAAGCCAGGGCTGATCAAAATTAATTATGAGCTGTGAGATGGGAGTAATGAAAAAAAGGAAGAACAGAAGAGCAGCAACTGGGCTTATGACATTAAAAATACAAATAACAGGCAAATCTATGTCTTATCCTGACAAGTGAGGCACTCAGCATATCTGTCATTCCTTTCATCATGCAGATGACTTCTCAGTAGCTCTTGACACATAATACTGCAATCCCATCTTTCCACCAAATTTCTGTAAAAGCTGTCAACTCTTTGTAAAACGTCTAGATAAAAATGATTGAAAAATCATATTTCATAATAACTCTATTTAAGAACTCCATAGCTTTTAAGTATTTTCTTGCTTCGTTTTACGGTGACTTTCTTCTTTTTAATTAGCATGAAGCCTAGTTACTTTTTACCATGAGACAAAGAGTGCCAAACATAACAGATCTAGGAGACTGGAAAACAAACAGGTGGAAAAATTAATAATAAGTACTTATATTTACACTTGCTATAAAAGAAGTCTTTGTGTTAAGGAAAGAGAGATAATACATGGCATGCCATCTGGTTTGCCTGAAGATGGGACAATGAAATTTTCAGATCACAGCTGGTCCTAGATAAGGCATTATCAACCCAGTGCTAGAACAGAATCAACCCATGGACAATGAAAAGCAGGGCAAAGCAAGAAAGTGCTTCATCTGGCAGGGCCAGGAAGCAGTGCCATTGTCTGTCACATCTGCAGGTTCAGCTGGAAGATTGGTGTACTCCTTGATTCCCTGTTTTTGTTAAACTTCTGCAGCAGCATCTATGAATTAACACTTCCAGCTACCTTCTGTTAGGTAGGAGACTGCTTCACACTGTTGAACAGAGCAGTACTCAGAAATGTGTAACAGCAGGTACTTACACAATGTTTCCAGCTTGTACAACATGGGCAGAACATCTCTTTGTCATAACAACTCTCAGGGAGCAAAGGTTCCTTCCTCTTGGAGTATCAAACAGACTCTACTCGGACACATCCAACTGTCCAAAGATAGTTATCCAATTTATACTACTCATGCAAGCTTATAGATTCTCTTAAAAATTGAAGGAGTCGCTCATAAGAGCAATTTGGTGTACAGGCATACAGACAACTTGATGGAGAAAAGATGGGACACAGTCTGGAGTTGCCCCTTTCCCCTGGAGAACTATGAATGACTACATCCCTGGTACTTACATGCTAGGCAACCCAAGATCCTATTTCACTGCAGCAGAGTCAAGCTAACGTTTTCAGTTATTATTTTCAGAGTGATAAATGATGAATCTCATCTTACACAGACTGAGAAAAATTCCAGGTGTTGAGAGGGAAAGTGCTCCATGGGTTCTGTCACACCTTCTACCACAATAGTAAGTAGAAGAGTATGGCTGAACAGTGCCAGTACTCCAGGTGGGGATACTGGTATCAGCAGCTGAACATGAGCCAGCAGTGTGCCAGGTGGCCAAGAAGACAAATGGCATCCTGGCCTGGCTCAGCAATAGTGTGTCCAGCAGGAGCAGGGGGGTCATTCTCCCCCTGTACTCGGCACTGGTGAGGCCACACCTGGAGTTCTGTGTCCAGTTCTGGCCCCTCAGTTCAGGAAGGATGTTCAGCACGTCCAGAGGAGGCAACGAGGCTGGTTAGGGGCTTGGAACACAAACCCTGTGAGGAACAGGTTAGGGAGCTGGGGTTGTTTAGCCTGGAGAAAAGGAGATTAAGAGGTGACCTTATAACTCTCTACAACTTCCTGAAAGGTAGCTGTAGTCAGGTGGGGGTTGGTCTCTTTCTCCTCTTTCTCAGGCAGCACCTGACAGAATGAGGGGACACAGTGTTTAGCTGTGCCAAGGGAAATACAGGCTGGATATTAGGAAAAGGTTCTTTATAGAAAGGGAGATAAAGTACTGGAATGGTCTGCCCAGGGAGGTGGTAGAGTCACCATCCCTGGATGTGTTTATAAAAAGATTGCACTCGGTGCCATGGTTTAGTGGAGGTGTTAGGGCTGGGTTGGATTTGATGGTCATAAATGTCTCTTCCAACCTAGTGATTCTGTGATTCTGTGAAAGAGAGAAAATTCTTTTTCTTGGATGATTTAATGCTGTGTAACAATTTCTGTTAAAAACAGGCAGTACAGCATCACTACTTTCTAAGTTTGAAACATGTTTTTGACCTTTTCTGTCCTGAGAAGAGTACACACCAGAACACATCTTAAAATACATTTTAAAAAGCCAAACAAATATAATGAACAAATTACACAAACCCTGAACAAAATCCTCTTTCAAACCCAGTTGTCCTGTGGATACTACATGTAAGAGAGCATGTGGAACACACATGACAAATGTTATTCGTAACACTCAGAAAACTGCTGGAAGGCTCTTGTATATTAAAATAACTCCTAAAGGGTAAAAAATATCACTGAGGGAAACTCTGGCTTTCCTTTTATGTTAGCATTATTTTAAAAAGCTTTAGATTGTCTGGATGCTGACCGACCCATGTGTGATTAAAATGCTATCTCCGTGTTTTTGGAGACATATGGACATTCATGTAACAGCAGGTAATACAAGTTCCAGCCATTCCAGGGGTTCTGCTGTTCTGACAAAGTTTGCTCATTTTAACATTTGATTCGCAGGACTGACAGAAGAATGTATATCCAGCTACAGATAAAAAAATTAAAAAATGACCCTCAAACATGGTATCACATTTTTTTCCATAAAGTATGGGAACACTTTCTGGTATCTTAGCCATTAGTCTCCACATTAGCATGTTTCTGGTTTTAGTAGCATCAATAATGTACATGAACTGAAATTACAGAAAACACAATGGTTACAATTAATTATATGCAAAAAAAATTTAAATATTCATTGTCTTTCCTGACTGAGAAACCACCCACCACCATATATTCAGGTAGAGGAAGCCTGAGCATTTTATCTGAAAATAAGTTTTCCAAAACAATTTACACTGTCACAGGAGATAAGTGATACCACACATACTCTCTGAGCATTTATTTAATGTAAATTCCAATTTTTACTTACCAATCCTGCACAGCATTGAAAGAGTCTTCATTTGTGATGTCATACATTAAAATGAAACCCATTGCACCCCGGTAGTAAGCTGTGGTAATTGTTCTGTACCTCTCCTGGCCTGCTGTGTCCTGAAACAAAAATAAACAAAATTTTTACACTGCACATAAATTGACAATTTTTTCTTTTTTTTTTGCTTTTACAGAAAGAAAGCTCTGGAAATAGGAGAACTCTGCATTGGATCATAATAGGAGGGACATATCAATTCTGTCATGAGGGGAGAGTGGAGAGCAGCAGAAAGCTTGGCCCCCTGTCAGTCCACATATCCTGTCTCATTAGTGATTCATTTTATTCACCCTGAGAGCTGGGTAAGAACTTCCTCTTCTGCTCCTGCCTTGTACCTTCCCAGTGGGACAGAAGTAAAATCTGGATAAAATTCTGGAACAAAACAGCATCCTTAAGACCTTCATTACAAAAACAGAATGGTTCCTGAAGCCAGAAAATATCTTGAACAAAAAGGCAATGTCTAATTGTTCTGCTCTTGTGATTTTAATCCACAGGTCCTTATGTCAACAAGCATCAACACACCTTTCTGCTAACAGGGAAAAAAAAATAAAAAAAAAAGACAAAAAAAAGACTGTATGTCAGTGCTTTAAAAACAAGGATCATATCTGGCAATAAAGAAGAAATTTGCTATCAGTCCCTTACCTCAACCAGTTTTCTACCTCATCTTAATTAACTGTCTTTAAAGCAATAAATGTAGAAATATAAATCTTATCTCCTACTCCTTGCTTTCCTTATTTCTATTCAACTTTTCAGGATAGCAACTAGCTTTTAATATATTTAATGCAGTGTCTAGGATGGTGTTTAGTCTAGGGAAGACTAGCAGCAAATCTCATTAATACTTTTATAATTATAATATAAATATTTCACGACAGGTGCCAAGAGGACGGTGCCAGACTCTTTTCAGTGGTGCCCAATGACAGGACAAGGAACAATGGCCATAAACTAAAACACAAAAAGTACTACCTCAGCTTGAGGAGGAACTTTACATTGAGGGTGGCACTGGAACAGGCTGCCCAGGGATGTTGTAGTCTCCTTCTCTGAAGACACTCAACACCCACTTGGATGTGTTCCTGTGTCACCTGCTCTGGGTGACTCTGGCTTGGCAGGCATTTGGATGACATGATCTCCGTGGGTCCTTTCCAACACTAAGTATTCTCTGATTCTGTGATACAACCACCTATGTCTGCACTAAAACTGAGACACAACAGCAATAACTGAAATACAGGAAATGCATAACTATTTCATGTTCTGGCATACCTGTTTAATATTTTTAAGCCATTAATATTAATAGCATTACAGGAGACATACGTCAGTGCAATCCTATAATTAATGGGTCATCTGTACATATTTAATTTTAACAAACTTTGAAAAGTAATATAATTATTTCCAATTTTTTTTAATAGCTAGGAAATAGATTAGTTTTTATCTTTAGATTACAGATAAATCTGTTTAATTTACCTTCCCACAAAGAAGACTAACCAGTAACAAACATATTTGATATGTTTTCTGAAATAGTTTCTAGGCTAGAAGTACTTCCTTCAAACAAAAGGACTCAACTGTTAACTCCTGTGAACGTGGGCCTCCATTTTTACATATGTATTCATTTCATAATCTAACAAAATAGGAAAAGGAGATTTTACTTGCAACAGAAAACCCTTTTAGATTTAAAAAAAAGGAAAAATCCAAGGTTTTAATGGTTTAGGTTTGTCAGTTTGTGTTTCCTGGCCAATGTACCAAACAATGTAGTGGGTTTTAGCACTGGCTAAAATTACTAGTGCACTTACTCATTTCCTGCTGTGAGATATGTTTTAGGAGGAGGAAAATCAATGAGCAGGTGGATCGGGCTGCAAAGATAGAGGTGTCAAAGATAGACTTAGATTGGCAACACAAGGGAGAGTTGTTCCTAGCTCGATGGGCCCATGATGCCTCAGGTCATCAGGGAAGAGATGCCACCTATAAGTGGGCACGAGACCGAGGGGTGGATTTAACCATGGACAGTATTTCCCAGGTTATCCATGACTGTGAGACGTGTGCCACGATCAAGCAGGCCAAGCGGCTGAGGCCCCTCTGGTACGGTGGGCGTTGGTCCAAATATAGGTATAGAGAAGCCTGGCAGATTGACTACATCACACTGCCCCAAACCCGCCAAGGCAAGCGCTAGGTGCTCACGATGGTAGAAGCCACCACAGGATGATTGGAAACTTACCCTGTGCCTCATGCCACTGCCCGTAACACCATCCTGGGACTTGAAAAGCAGGTCCTTTGGAGGCATGGCACCCCTGAGAGGATCGAGTCAGACAATGGGACTCATTTCAAGAATAACCTTATAAACAGCTGGGCTAGGGAACATGGCATTGAGTGGGTGTACCATATCCCCTACCATGCACCCGCTGCTGGAAAAGTGGAGAGCTACAATGGACTGTTAAAACTACCTTGAAAGCATTGGGTGGGGGATCTTTCAAAAGTTGGGAGCAGCATCTAGCAAAGGCCACCTGGATAGTTAACCAACCAACCGAGCAGGCCCTGCCCAGTTTGAACCCCTGTAGATGGAGACAAAGTCCCAGTGGTACATGTCAGGGGTTTGCTAGGGAAGACAGTCTGGATCAATTCTACCTCGAGTACAGACAAACCCATCTGTGTAGTTGACTTTGCTCAGGGACTAGCTTGCACGTGGATGGAACAACACGATGTACACCTCAGGGAGATCAGATTGTTGGGTGAGAACTATGTGTAAACATCACTGTTCACTGAATGTCACTGCCCTTGTCTGTATATATGTCTATATGTGTATATATATGTATATGTTTAATGTATGTGTTTGTAGAGTTAGGATATATATTAGTTTTGGTAATAAGTTGACAATATGGGGATAAGGTATGGAATGTCCTGGGGTGACTTTATGATGGCGGTATCCCCAATCGTCTGTTCTGCTTATGCTGGATGTTAAGTTCTGCATAGGACTGGTTCTGAGAGTGAAGGGGGGAAAGAAGCTGCAGTTTGTTTTCAGAAGTGGCACTCACTGCCCCGCATGCTGCTCTGCAGTGTTCACAGTCTGCAGCATGGACAGACAGAGGGACAGAGCTCTCTCCTTTGCTTTTTTGTTAGTTTTTAGCTAGCTGAGGCAGAGAAGTTCCTTGTGGCTTTTCTTTTTTCTTGGATCTGTTCAATCTGGACTGAAAACCCAGAAAAGCCCTGGGAGCTCACGCCTGTGTCCCACAGGGCCTGGGCTTTGGCACTTTCCAGCTCTGGAGGGACTGACAAGAGACTGAGCAAACTGAGCTACCCCATGACAAGGACTTTCTGGATTTGCCATCTCTTTGAACAGCAGGAGGTTTTATTGTTAAATATTATTCATTTCTTATGCTTGTAGATACTTTGATTGTTAAATAAATAGTTTTCTCCACTTTGTCGAGCTCCACATTGGGTTCCAACAAATGTATTTGTCCTGATTTAGGGCAAATTTGTGAGAAAACCACTGAATCCCCTCCAGAAAGCAAATTCAGGTCCCCCTGAAAACTGGTTCAAGAAAATATTTCCTTGGAAAAAAGTGGAAAAAACTGTTTATTTAGCAAGCAAAGTATCTACAAGCATAAGAAATGAATAATATTAAAAAATAAAACCTTTCGCTGTTGGAGAAGATGGCAAATCCAGAAGGTCCTTGTCATGGGGTAGCTCAGCTTGCTCAGTCTCTCCAGGGCTGGAAAGTGCCAAAGCCCAGGCCCTGTGAGACACAGGTGTGAGCTCCCAGGGCTTTTCTGGGTTTTCAGTCCAGAGCAGGTTTAAACAGATTCAAGGAAAAAACACAGTCCAGGGAGCTTCTCTGCCTCAGCTAGGTAAAAACTAAAAGCAAAGGAGAGCTCTGTCCCTCTGTCTGTCCATGCTGCAGAGAGAGCAGTGCAGAGCAGCATGTGGGGCAGTGTGTGCTGTGTCAGAACACAAACTGCAGCTTCTTCTTCCCCGTCTTTGCTCTCAGAACCAGTCTTGAAGGTGCAGAACTTAACATCCAGCATAAACAGAACAGACAGCTGGGGATACAAACATCATAAAGTCACACTGGAACAAAAGTCATTACTGAAACTAACAACATTAGGTGGAATATATGATTCCTGTTCATCCTGGATTACAGTAGCTGCTGCTTTGATGTAGTTTCAGTGATTCAGGACGGAAAGCTAAAGTGGTTAAACTATAGCAGGTCTCATATGAAGTTAGGTTACGTCCTTGTGGGAAAGGCCAGACAGACCTAAACTTCTTCTGCTTATGCTTTGAACTGGCTGAGCCTCTGCCAGCTGCGGTCTGGAATTTGGAAAACTGCTCCCAGATTTTCTGGTGTGCCTCAATATTAAGATATTGAGATATTAAGATGTGCACTAAGCCTGTGCATATTTCATTGGTGAAAAAAAGCTTTACTTTCATTTTTTTTTTGTTTGTTGGTTTCATGTTTGGTTTTGTGGGGGGTCTTGTTGTTGTTGGTTTCATTTATTTGATTTATTATTGGACAAAATATCTCCGAGAGACAGAAGTAAAATATGGCCCACAGCAAGCATTCAGCCTGTACAGAAGAGAAAGAATTTTGAAACAAATTTTACCAGTCTATCTGCTTGGTTTTTAGTTAAAGACATGTTTGATTAGTATGTATCATAGTGTGACAAGCAGGAGGCCACTCTTACTGAAGACAATCTTATTTTGCTCTGAGGGGTTTCCACTGAAGCCCACCTGCAGATAAGAGTGAAAAGCCCTAGCAATAAAGCCATTAGTCAATGATGCTTTCTGTCCAAGACACCAACTATTTTCTGTGCAGTGTAAAGCCACATAGGGTGGGCTTAGGAACTCTTGATTATAAAAATAAAGAATGAAAATAAAAAATAAGTTCAAAGGATCAAAATCAAAATGAAAGTTCTTAAATAATTTTACACAAAGGAGCAGAAAACTGCAGATAAAGATCCAAACACTGATTTTGGGACAGAAAACGTTTGTCTAGACCCAAGCAATGGATTTGTGTCAGTTAGGGAAGGAACCAGGTATTTGGAGGTGTTCTCAAATTCTAATTCATAATTCTAAAGTCATA